TGGAAACATGGAGCATTTAAAAAATTATTTTTACACAAAATTCAATTTTAGCCTCACAAATTATCCTCCGGTGTTTTTACAACATAATAACGCTTAAAAGTCAATATTCTCAATGAATATCAAGCTAAATATTGCCTGAAAATTTTAATAAAATTCTAAACTAAATATTGCCTGAAATTTGAAACTTAACGCCAGAATTTGATTATTTGGATAGCCATCGTGAGAATTTGAGATCATGGAACGCCACACAATGATTGCCTACAGAAAATGTGTCCTTCAACAAGATGAACTAGGAAAATTTCTACAATTTTCCGATGAGATTTTCCTTGTCCAAAAATGATATTGAGGCACAAGACCGGGAATTGAATTTGCAACAAACCGAAAATTAGTGAGAAGAAAATATTCAATATAAGAGACGAAAAGTGGTTGCTCCGACAAGTGGCCGATAATCCAACGCTAAATGCACCCAAACTTGCTGAAATCGCAGAGAAATATCTGGAAAAGAAATGTGACTCAAAAACGATTAAAAGAATTTTGTGTATGTATGGTATTCATAATAGAGTTGCACTGAAAAAGCCAATAATAAACCCCCAAAACCGTAAAATCCGATTGGGGTTCGTTCAGAAACACGAAGCAAAGAATTTTGCATTTTGGAAATCTATTATTTTTACTGATGAAAGCCAATTTAAATTGTTTCGGTCGTATGGACCAAATAAGGAACGGAGGAGGCTCTGTAATGGTATGGGACTGTATGAGCTCTGTGATAGTAGGAAATCATATTTTTATTGAAGGAATTATGAATAAGATTTATTATTTAAAACATTCTAAAATATAATTTGAAATATAGTGCTGAAATTGGGATTGGCGACAACATATCAATTTTATCAAGATAATGACCGCAAACACAAGTCCCAGATCGTTCGAGAAAGCCTGATTTTTAATTGTCCAAATGTGATTCTAATACCATATCAATCCCGGATTTGAATCCTATAGAGAACTTATGGAGTTTTTTGGAGAAAATTATAACATCTAATCACACAATTGCGATCGTAAAGCACGGATGAGACTCTGCAATGATATGGGACTGTATGAGCGCTGAACGTAGTAGGAAATCTGGTTTTTATTGAAGGAAATATGGATAAGATTTATTATTTAAAAATGCTAAACTATAATTTGAAATATTGTGCTGAAAAATTGGCATTGGGGATAACATTTTTATTTTATCGTTCGATAATAGATGCTTTATAATAGCCTTAAAGTGATTCAAACATCTCCTCAATCCCCCGGACTTGAGTCCTACAGATAACTTATGAAGTATTTTGAAGAAAAATATTAGAGACCATAACATCTAAGCACACTATTCCCACTGTAAAACACGGACGGAACTGTCTAATGATATGGGACTGTATGAGCTCTATCGTATTAGGAAATCTCATTTTTTTGATGGATTTATGAATAAGATTTATTATTTAAAATATTCTAAAATATAATTTGAAATGTAGAGCTGAAAATTGGAATTAGGGACAACATTTCAATTTTATAAAGATAATGACCACAAAGTCATTAGGTCCCAAATCGTTCGATAATGGATGCTCTATAATAGCCTTAAAGTGATTTAAACACCGCCTCAATCCCCGGATTTGAATCCTTTTGAGAACTAATAGAGTATTTTGGAGAAAAATATTAGAAGCCATAATGCTGTGGACCCTAAGCAATGGTATGGGACTATATAAGCGCTGTCGTAGTAGGAAATCTCGATTTTATTGATTTACTTTTTGAAAAGTTTTATTATTTAAACATGCTAAAAGATAATTTGAAATGTTGTGCTGAAACATTGGGATTGGGGAAAGCATTACATTATTTAAAGAAAGCTGTCAAAGATTACAAGGTAACCCATAAAAACGGTTCAATAATAAAAAATCAACAAATTGACGGACAGCCATCGAATCTTGTGTTTCATCCCAAGATGTTGGTGTGACTTTCATGAAATTTGAAAATCGTATTAATTTAGTATTAATTTGAGTTTTAATGGTTAATGACATAAAATGATTTTTGTCACTCATGCGGAGTACCAAATTTTCATGGAGGACATATTTTTTATGTTCAGATATCCAATTGAATGAATTGTATTTGAACTGAGTTTAATAGTTTTGGTTTTGTCAACAAGGACAAAATATGTTTGGGAAAGGCTATACCACCAAGAGTAGTGATTATCACTTGATGCGAATATAATTTTTGGTTATCGATTGCGAACGTCTTCAGTTTTTAAGTTTTTCAGTCCCCCATTAGAAGTCATGACGTCTCAATCATACACAATTTGAAAAATGCTTTACAAGTAGAATGGGGAAAATTAGGATATCTTACTGGGGAAACTTGGTAAAATCTATTTCCGGAAAGGTTGAAAGCTGTAAAATATAACAAGGGATATCATACTTAGTATTAATCAAGAAAAAAATCGATTTGTGGTTTTATCCTAAAAAGTGGATCAATATAGGTAATTTTTGGTAGGAGGATGTGTAACCCAATTTTAATTCAAAATCCTTCCTTATATAGCAAAATATGGGTTCAATAAACCTTGAACCAATTGTGACAGCCAAAATCTGAAAGCGTACGATGGTAGCTAATGTTTTTGTTTAAATCCGGTTTTAATTTTGTCGATTTGGAGTTGATTTGCAAATAATAAGTAAGCTTATCACGTGAACTACTCTAACTATTGAATTTCACTCTTCAGCGAGTGTTTACCATCTACAAATTTTGCTATCATATAAAATCCGAAAAAACCTGAAAATTTTCAACATTTTTAATTTTAAAAAATGTGTCACAGTGTAATTTTAAATTGGAAGATTTTATAAAAATTCAAAATACCAAATTACAGGAGGATGCGTTGCTAATTTTAATTCAAAATACTAAATTACAGCCAATTCGTTGCAAAATCATGTTCATACTTCCCAAACTACCAAAAATTCGGGAGGTACTGTTATATGGGAGCTATGTATAAAATGAACATATTTAATATACAATCCGCCTTATGAAAAAATTTTATGAATATGATTCATTTGGTCCCATAGCTAATATCTAGTCGACCACCACCGCCAATTATAGGAGTCATCGCAATATCTGAAGACTATATACCCCCCACAAAAGCCAATCCAACATACTTGTGTTGGCTATACAAGTATACTTGAAAAAAAATCCAACATTATTTTTTTAATTGTAATATCGATTTGTTTTTTTTTTATTATCCACTAGTATATCTCTCATAATTTAACAACACAAATTAACTAAATATTCGTATTATAACTATCGAACATTAACTGAAAAAGAAATATTTTTTTTACCGAAGTACGACTCTAGAAAATATGTGAATACTTATTAACCAATGATTCCAAGATTATTTTTATTTCAATACAATAATCCATTGACAATGAATAGTTAATTTATAAATTATCCACTATAGTTTTTATAATTTAAATTCATACAGAAATTATCGGAAGATTTTAACAGAACACTTCCGCAGTATGGCATTTTTTCTTTTGATAAAAAACTAAAAAAACTTACTTTGACAATGGTGATGGTCAGGCTGAACGATTTGCCACGTCCTGAACGGCCAACAAATCTCAAGTCATTGAATTTGGCAGCTTGATTTTTCATGATGGCGGCGACGTTTCTCAACTCTCCGCAGTAGTTCTATTCGTTGCAGCACTTGATGGTGACCAACACCCAAGGCGAAAATATGGATAATTTCGTCGAACTGTTTTGAGATGCGATTGTGGTTTTATTTTTGTATCCCGATAATCCATATTCAATAAATTATATTTTCTATATTTTGTTTCACCAGAATTTTTTTAACATTTCATTTTAATACTCACGATTTTTTTAATTCTATTATAGAGTCGATGATTTTTCACTCTGTATGACAATTATTTGTTGAGACATTTTAGTATAAGATTTTTTTTTTGCATCGGTGAATTTAATATCCGCGAATATCGGTAATCCAAAAAGAAAAAAATCGGATATATTTTTTATTTAATTCCAATGTTGTTGACATTTTTCCGTAACTTGTTGTAATTTAAAGTTCTTGAGATGACACCTGAAATTTATTTAGTTTTTTTTTTTAATAAATACATTTTTTCCCCAAAATATTTTCCCACATTAACCAAAATTAGAACACCATAAAAGATTTTTTTTTTTGTAAAAATATTTGTTTATATATTTTTTTCTCAACTATTTGTTTTCTCAATTAAAACTTAACTCTATAATACAATTTAAATTGTTTACTTAAAATCTATATATTTTTTTGAAAAATAAAATTCGTATTTACAAAACAAATTATCATTAGAAAGAAGAAGAAGAAACAAATCTAACACTTCCCTTGTTTTGAGCAAATACATTGGTTTTTAAACAAATTTTCCGAGGGAAAATTGTTCTTGCAAAAATTCGTAGTTTTTTATAAAATAATTAAAATTATGATGACGAAAAAAGGACTATTGCATCGACGATAGAACGATTGAACGAACTCAACGTACGATTTTATGAGTCGAGCATAAAAATTCGCCGGAATCCATATAGTAGTTTAGAAGGAAATTTGGAGAATTTTCGTAGTAGTTGTAGTTTAGAGATGAGCAGGAAACAGACCGTTGCAATAATCCCGGGTTAGATCTTTGGAGCCGCAAGTGCCTTTGGTGTAGAACTTATATAACTATATCACAAGCATTTATGTTTGGGATAATAAGGATGATGATGATGATGAGGGGAGAGGGTTTTGCCTTTTTAGAAGAAGTCCAAGCTCCTTATTATATCACAAGTTTTTTTTTTTTTTTGAGCAAACCATTTGATGTGTTCGATGCTGAGTGTGTAGCTGGTTGGCTGGCTGCCTGCCTTTTCTTTGTTGGCATACACTATTTCAGTGTTTTGCCGTCGGCATTTACCACCGCTTCTCAATTGTGCTCAGAACAGGACACACTAGTCAGGGGCTGAGATTTGGAGGAAATCTTTCCCGCTGGCAGACAGACATCTCAAATGCCGCCGCTTTCACTGGCCATTAGAATACGCTTCCATGCCAATTCCTTGGCAAGACGTAGCAAATGAATAGCAATGACGATTTCTTTCGCCATCGTAACTTCTCAGTATGGGCGCCAGACGGTTTTCTGTTGGCTGGAGGCATTCTTCAGCTTGGTGGCAGCAGGCAAAGTGGTTTCGGGAGAGGTGGATTGGCGAGAGTGTTGCGATGAGGATTCGTGGTAGTAGGGTTTCATGGCGGAGGGGGCTTTCAAGTCGCAGCGTTGACGATTCATGGGTTGTACGGGTGAGGAGCGGGCGGAATCCAAGGATTTATCCAAATCTTCAGTGGAGCCATTTAGGCTGGGCACCTGAGGACGGAGAATGGGCACAAAGGCGGATTTGACAACATCGATTTGTTCATCATCCGAATCGGCATCGGAGGCAGATTGTTCATGCATGGAGTTGCTTTCCACGGAGGTGTTCAGCTTTTGGTGCAAGGCTTGATGGGTCGGCGAGGAGGATGATGGCCGGGATGAAGCAGGGCTAATGTGAGCGGGACTGATGTGCTCGGTGGACGAGTGCGATCCCAATGAGGTGTTGTGCAAGTGGGATGGACGACCACCACGTAGAGCGGCCAAGTTGTAGGGATGGAAGGCATGAGCATGGGCTGGCTTCTGATGGGCATGCATCAGATCGGGATGAGCTTGGGCAGCAGCGGCGGCGGCAGCAGCAGCAACGGGATTGAAGGGGAATTGAGGCATACTATAGGTGGATCCGGGTGGTGATGGAATCATGCTGGTGGCGGGAATGGCATTGACACCAGATGGAGGTGGGGTGATTTGGCTGGGCAGACGGTATTCAGTGGGAGAACCGGCGGCGGCCTGTGGTGGTGGCACCACAGTCTGGCCATTGGGCAAAGATGGTGAGGTCTTGGCCAAGGCGGGATGATGGACAGCAGCGGCGGCTGCTTGATGGCGGAAGTAATCAGCATAGCCGTAGGTCATGTAGGCGGCATCCAACCATGCTGGGTTCAGCATGAATGGATTGAAAGCGCCAGGATGAGGGTATCCGTAGCCTAAAAAGAAAAGAAGAAAAACAAATCATAAGTATAAGTTTGTCAAGGGTTTAAGAGGGCAAAAATAAAAATTTCATAAATGAAGGAAACTAAAAACTGCACTGCCAAGCAGGAAGATTTCAACAGAACACTTCCGCAGAATGGCATTCTTTTTTTCTTTTGATAAAAAACAAAAAAGATAAAAAACTAAAAACTTACTTTGCTTACTTCTTGGCTCCCGAGGTCCATCAACGGTAACCTTAATGGCTTTGGTGTATGAGGCAATCTGCACGGGATAGGTGGCAATGGTGATGGTCAGGCTGAACGATTTGCCACGTCCTGAACGGCCAACAAATCTCAAGTCATTGAATTTGGCAACTTGATTCTTCATGATGGCGGTGGCGTTTCTCAACTCGCCGCAGTAGTTCTCATCGTTGCCGCACTTGATGGTGACCAAGGTACCATCGGGCACATCGTCCAAGGCGATGACCTTGAAGGCACCGGGCAATGATTTGTTGGAACGCCAATGATTGGGCAAGGCGCTGCAGAGGATCGATGGTGAGCCGGTTTGGGCCAATTCACCGTGATATTCCTGCAACATTTCGTGGAGGCTGGCGAACATGTCGGTCATTGAGCTGGGCATTTTGGCGGCATTCGAGGTGTTGTCGGGTGTGGAGGAACCAGTGGAACTGGCACTGTTGGCGCGATTGTTATTAGCGGTGTTGTTGTTCGAAGGCAAAGCCTGGGCGGGGGCAGCAACCATGGTGGGACCAGCAGGCAAATGCATTTTGATGTGTGTGTGTTGTTTTAAAAATTTACGAAGCGAAATAAAATAATTAAGTAATCCAAGTGTGGTTGTGGTGCGTTTTACGGTAATCCAAGTTAGAGCGCGTTTAGATCTTTACACTTCGACTATCGTTTAAAGACTGATTTCGAAATTCTTACACAGTTACACTGTTTCACTTTTATGAGATTTTTCTCTTTTTGTTTCTTCTTCTTTTTGAATTTTGTGCGTGTTTAAAGGAAATTTTCTTTTGTTGTTATTGTTTTTTCTCGTTACAAGTCGTTTCGTTTGTATGTATGAGTGTGTGTGCGGTTGTTTGATTTTTTGTGTTTCAAAAAAGGAAAATCGAAATGGTTTTTCTTTTTCGGTTAATGTTTTTTGAGTGTGTGTTGTTAACACGTTCAAGTCGCTGAGTGAACTGACTCTCTGCTACGATCATCAGCAGTATTTGAACTAAAATTGTGAATCGCTTTATGGGTCGCCAGGCACAAAGACACACACGCACACACACAAGCAGGCACAGACTTTTGTTCTTGCTTGGCATACCCTCGATGGTTGTTGGTTAGCGAACGACCCCTTGTGTGTGCACAACATTAAGGGTGCACAGGCAAGCAAACACACACACACACATACTCATACACACGGAGAGGCCGAACAACCAAAAGCAGGTATCAAGCAACCACCATTGCCGCAACAACAACCACACAACAACAGCAGCAGCAGTAGTAGTCGTAGTCGTCAGTTGAAGGAAAAAAATTTCCCATTTTTCCATTGTGGTATATATACGACACCAACAAATATAGCAACAACAACAACACCACCACCAATAGCAATAAAAACAATAATAACAACAACAAGACGAACGAACGAACAACCCAGCAAGTAATATTCACATCAAGGCAAAGAAGGGAAAATATACAATTTGTACGACGAGCCACCAACAACAACAACTCAAACAAAAAACCTCAATAGCGAGCCAAAACAAAAAACGAACGAACTCCTCTTTTGAGAACTCAATATGAAACGAAAAAAAAATCAGCAAGGAAAACGGCAAAGAAAAAGAAAGCAAAAAAAAAAACGCACATTTGGAGCTTTGGAAAAAAATCCTTCTTTTTTCGCTGCTCCACTTCTCCACCATTTTTTCCCTCAATGGCTGGCTGGCTGGATGACCGACTGGCGGAGTAAAATCCAATATAACTGAGTAAATTTGTTTGCTTCGCTTTTACTCATGTCTCGCTCGTTTCATTTGCTCATCAATTTTTTTTCTTCTTCCGATTTGGTTTGGGAGGGCTGGATTCAATTCATTTTTTTTAAACAGCATTTCATTTTTTATGGGTTTTTTACGTGGGAGTGTTGTTGCTGTTGTTGTGGGTGAAATAAAAAAGCTTATTCTCTTCTCTCGGAGAGTATGTTGTATATTCCATAACTTTGCTGGGGATGTGTGTGTTTTTTATACATCATCCACACGGCATAAATTTCCATTGTAATTTCTCTGGTCAGCTGGCCTGTATGATGGTAGCCAGCCGCGAGTTCTGGTTTCACCTGAGAAAAAAAGTTTATGTTTTTTATTTTCATTTTTTGTAAAAATCCGTGCCTATAACACAATGCTACAACATTTTTTGAGGAATTATTATTTTATTTATGTATATCCTATTCGTAAAATGTACCTTATTATATGTGAGGATCTTTTAATCAGGGGTGCTCGCATATGTATTGATAAATCTTTATTCTGTCTATGCTAAAAGGGATTAAATCAAAAGTTTTATTAATAAAATGTTATTTATAATTGCACAATAAAATATATAAAAAAATGCACATTAATCCTCTAAGAGTCCTTGAATAATTAAACTTCTGAAAATTATCAAACATAAATAGAATAAATAGAAGTAAAATATAAATAGATGTCTTTTAAAAATATTAAATCACACTTGTGGCATGGGCGATATATTACAGAATGCGTTCTAAAAGTACTTCGAAGAGAAAACAAAATCTACATTAAATATTTCTGAAAATCTTCATCGGGTATATTTGAAATATTGGAGAATTGAAGTAGATTAAAAGCGCTCTTTTTAAACATATTTTTAAGAGACAATATAATAAAAAAAAATAGTTATAGACATATTGTAAGTTTTTATTTGTTAAGAGTTAGTCTCCAGAAAAATAGTCAAAAAATATGTAAGTCTTTTATGTTTTGTTTTTTATTTAATTTTTTAGTTCCATGATTAAATTATTTAAAAAAATGTACGGTTTTGAGTTTTTACTTAATTAGTATTACAGCAATTAATATCATGGAGACAGAGTCTTACAAGCGATTATATTATCACATATTAAGGAGAAAAATTAGGAGTAAACAAAAAAGGGTTTAAGAATTTCAAAACATTTCTTAAAACCTTTTTTGTTTCTCAAAGGTTTTTACTCCTAATTTTTATGCATATATCTACTTTTAATATAGTTATACATAAATATATATTCAATTTTCTAATCATAGTTAGACATTCTGCATTTTTCTTCGAATGACAGCGTCAAATTCTGCATTACCATATTTGAGGTCTGGTGTCCGCCGAAGTGTTGGATATTTCCAACCAAGTTTGTGAATTATTTTTAAGTTCTTTAAGTGTGGGCAATGTGTGGGAATTGGATGGAAGAAATATATAATCTTGAATTTTGTAAAAATAAATTAAAATCAAAAGCATAACCTTCATTATAAAATAGGTTCCTTCTCACGTATTCGTGTTTCAAACAATATTCGGAAAATATAGAAAACATTCTTAAACAAAAAATAAGCAATGAAAAAAAAAACCGATTCTGGATTTTTTCCTTATTTGTTTATTAAAATTTGTTCCTTAAAGTACTTATAAATAAAATTGTAAATGACTTTACAATATTCAAATAAATATATATTGAAATATTATCACAATTCTCCCCATTCATAGATTGTATATAAAATATTTTCTTGATCCGAAACTAATCATTTATAATCTTGAGATTATTTTCAATACAGATTCACCGGATTGAATCGCAAACACAAGTTGGCACATCGAAATTGATTAACTGTTACAAATCTAACTACACGCTAGGATTAATAATTCTTTTAAAACCTTCCCAAAAATTATTCAAATAAAAAAATAATAATGATATACAATATTCTAACAATATAGAAATCCTTCTTAAAAATATAATCAATTAAAAATCCCGCTTCCGCCTTTAAAATTAAGGACTTTCTTCATATATGGAATCTTAAAAAAAATCATAAATTTGAATTATTATAAATTAAGAAACAAATTGAAATATTCAGAAGCCATATATATAAAATCCCTTTGAAAAATTCAAGTTTCAAGAGTACCAAAAATTGCACTATTTGGAAAATATTCACTACATTTCTGAGTTTTTTAATAATATAACCTTAAAATAGCAAATTTTCAAGTTCTAAAAAATGTCCTTACAAACCTTAAATAAAAATAGAAAATACATGTTGAATAGTCGCCATAACTTCATTGAAATATACTTATAAATAAAAAAATTTTCTTTTTAAAATAAATACACATTATTCAAATATAAAATCCTTTCAGAGAGAAAATTCGAGATTATTTCCTTGAATCCTTTAAACAGTGGAATTGAATAAATACGCTTATACAGCTGATGATTCTTCGAAAAATACTATTTAAAGAAATACTTTAGAAATCTCTAAACGTCCTTAGAAAATTTGTTTTTTAATGAGTCGTTTATTTTGAAAGTGGTTTAAGTTCATTTCTTTCTTATCATGAGATATTTAAAATTTTGGGTTTGATTTGTTTTAAAAATATTGTTAAGTGGTATTAATTTTCTTTTTTTGACTTAGTGCCCTTAAACATGGTAGAATATCAAATCAAGATTTGTATCAGAACCTAAAATGGAATTAAACCACTTTAAAAATTAACGATTCATTTCTAATTTTTATTATTTCTACTTTTTTGGTATTTTTTTATAAATGAAAGAGTTAATTGTTCGAGCTTGAGGTCGTTGTTTTGTTCTTCTAATATTTCGGAATTTTTTAATTCCATCTTCAGGGAGTATATTTTTAGATCTACAAAATGAATAATCAATTATTAAGTACGACCATATTACACAACATTTCTTACAAACATTTTATAATATATATCGTTAGCTAAAATGCAAAAAGGCGTAACTAAGTTTATATATATTCATTCAAAAAATCAATTTTCAATTTTTTGTTAGTTACGCCTTTTTGCATTTTAGCTAAAGATATACAGTTGCTAAAAATAAAATAGCACCAGCAAATAAATGCGATATTTTATTTAAAAAAAAAACCTTTAAAATGCAGGATCATTTTATGAACAGATGAAAGTAAGATTGTGCTGTACGGAGAAAAGGTTCTTGAGAATATGTCAGATGACCACCGAATGCAGAATTTAAAAAAAAGTTGATGCACCATTCTAAGTATTGCTTGTAAGGGTGGTGCTATTATTAATATAAAAATCACTTTTTAACGTAAACTCCTTTAACACACTCTTATTGTAAAATTAAAAAAATCATATTTTATTTAAATGCCCTCCGATTCAAAAATATTTATTGAAATATTATTACAATTCTCCCCATTCATAGCTTATCAAAATATTTTCTTGATCCGTAACTAAACATTTATAATCTTGAGATTGTTTTAATACAGATTCACAGTTTTGAATCGCAAAAACACGTTGGCACATCGAAATTGATGAGCTGTAACAAATCTAACTACAAGCTAGGATTAATAAATTTAATCCAAAGGCTAATCAACCTTATGTCTACAGATTAAATTAGGATGGAGTAATTTGATCCAGCGGAAGAGTTATGGACATATGTTCTTAGTTTTTTAATAAAGATGAGAAAAAACTGAAGGTTCCATACATTCTATTAAGCGCGGATCAAAAATTACTAATCTATATAATACTACTGATTAAATTAGGATGAGTAATTTGATCCAGTGGAAGACTTATGGACACAATTTCTTGATTTTTTTTTTTTTTT